AATGCCTTCCACTGCATCCAATCAGCATCCCAGTATTTAATATTTATTTTGAATAAATCCATAAATCCCATTATCTCTTGTGTAGTTGAGATATCCTCTTGTCTAGATCTGTGTACCTGCTTTGTCATTACCAGTTTGAAAGTGCAAAAAATATTATGTGATTTAAGTGTTCTAAAAGTATTTATTCTCCTATAATATGGCTGATGTAAGTATTTTATGCAATCTTTTCAGAGGGCGATTTATGATGTAACATACCAAAATTTTACACTTTGAAAGTGTATAAAATTTTTAACACAGCAATTGCATTTTCAGGAATTTATTTGAAGGAAAGTAATCCTGAAAGTGAACAAAATCGGCTCCATGGATACTTACCTCGTCATTGTTTAGGAAGCAAAATACTTAAAACTTAGATGTCCACAAAGGGATACTAAGTACCAGTTTACTCTGATGTTGTAGATGCATGATTAACAACTTTGAAAGAAATGTGTGTTAGTTGAAAAAAGCACACTGCAAAATAGTATGTATAATTCCAATTATTGTGAAAAAACACACATAGAGACACACATATATACATATATACATATGATTGGAGGGATATACATACCAAAATGTGATTTGGGTGGGGAGGATGTCTACAAAATTTCTGCACTGAGTATGCTTGATGTTCAAAATAATAAAAAAGAAAGAAAAAACAAAAGAAAAGAAAAAAATTGATGCCCATTACTCAAAATGGAAGTGACTGGAATTTGCAGACCATGTCTAGGGCTTTGCCCAGTGCCGAGTCAAACACAACAACAACATAACAAACTACGCCCATACAGGTACTCAGGGAATTCTGCTTGACAATCAGTTGAGAAGCGATTAAAATACATTTTGAGCAGAAGCTTTTTATATCTATGACAGGGCTTACATACTATCCCAGTGGCCCACAGCACTGGTTTTAGTCGTGTATCAAATGCACCCTGTAATCACAAATGGAAAAATCAATGTTGGGCCTTATGTCCGAAGTCTCCCTGACAAGAAGAAAGTAAAAGAGCTACTGTTCATGTTGTTTATCCTGAAGGTCTTCAGCAAGTAATTATTAAAAGTTCTGAGCAAGGTTGTTTCTCTTCTATGCTATCTAGGTCTCCAGATCACACTAAGTTTGTGGGAAGTTTCAAAACCAAACAAGACTTCATAGATTTGATTGAAGTAATTTATCGAGGAGCAATGAGAGGAAAACTTATTGTCCAAAGTCCTATTGATCCCAAGAATATTCCCAAATATGACCTTCTCTATCAAGACATTTAGCACATTAACTACTGTCAAAGCTGAAGAAAGAGGCACATCTCAAGAAGCAGTATCTGAATGCAGCTGTGCTGTTTTTCTGGAGTCCTTCAGACACAAGCTCAGTGTCCCAGGGGAGGAGAGAAATGACTTGTATAGAAAACACTGGCCCCGAGTAGAAGACCCCGCCGGGACTGAGATGATCTGGGAAGCCTGTGTTTTCTCCCCACAAACCTCGGAGCACTCAGGTCAACCGGGATCAACTTCCCCACGTGACTTGTTTGACTTTTCTCTATATTGTGCTTTTGTTTGTCCCTTAATATAATACAGAATTCTTCTAAACACTGGCTAGTACAATTTGATTTAACTATGTTTATTTGATACACAAGTAAAATGTAAAGAGCAAAAATACTTTCTACCCTATATGTACACACACACATCCCCCTCTTCCTCACCTCACCCTTGCCCATCCCTCCACTCACATATTTATATCCCTCGTGTTCTCTTCTTGCAGTCCTAATTATCCCAGTTTCTCTTAGAATGAATAATTCTCTATTGAAAGTAGGCAAGTTCGCTTTATTTCATGCCTTCTGGCTCAGACTTCAAAAACAGTGTCCTGGTTTGTAAAGTTACTGGCTTTTGTGCTATTAAATTGCCCAAGAAGTGAGACTTGAACCTCTACCATCCAGCATCCAATTTAAGCTTAAAAAAAGAATTAATTACCCTTAGTAAATAGGAACAGAGCTCTCCCAGAAGTCAGAAGTCCACCTCTTACTATGACAGAAAACTACTTCAAAAGCTCATGAATAGAAAGAAATAGGAGAATTGTTAGAAAGAATAGGGGCTGCTTTTCCCACTTGGAAGTGACGTACGCTTTACAGGAGCCAATGCAAGCAAGCCATCTGAGTGTTCCATTTCACAAAGATAAGGGTCTTGCTCTTAAAGGTCTCCCAGAAGAAAGGTTCCAGAACCCTTGCAGACAGACAGCAAGCTCTTTTGCTAACTGAAGTCTTCTGCTGTAAGCCTTCGGTACTCTGACCCATCACCAATATACCTTCTTGTCATATCAAAATATGGCCTCTCTTTCTCATAGCGTTAAATGCCTCCTGATGTCGTCAACATCTTACCAGATTCTGGCCTTCACTGTGAGGTTTTCTTCACTTGCATGCTCCGGATCCATTGATAATGTTCAACAGGTCAGAGCTAGTGGGCCCATGAAGCACTTACTTAGTCCTATATTCTAGAATCTGAAAGAGATAATAGTCTGAAACTGAAAAATCATACAAACACATTGTTTGTTTATTTGTTTGTTTGTTTAAGAGAGGGGAAGAGAAGCGTCAATGCAAAAGAGAAACCTCGATAGATTGCCTCTTGTACAGGCCCCCACCTAGGACCGAAGCAGCAACCTTTCACTTTGCATGACAGTGCCCAGCCAACGGAGCCACACTGATCATGGCTGAGGCAAACACATTTTTAAAAGCATCTTACAATACAGTTATACCTTTTTCTTCTGGCAGTACCCTAAGCCCTGAGTTTTCTTGAAGAATTATCTGATTGTATTAAGCAGCTTCTGGTCACCACTCAGGACAAAAATAATGGGAAAACCTTAGGCATTTTCTCAGTTCACTTATCTTCTCAGCCTTCCTCCTCAGCAGCACCTCCAGCCCACCCCCTGGGACGCTGCATGCTGTGGCTTTCAACACTCCCTGCCATCTCTAAATCCTGGGGCCTCCCTCTTCCTGGGGTTCTCTCCTGAAATGCCCTTCCCCTTCCATTTTCCAGAGTAGTACCTCCTATTTTCCTTAAAGCTCTTGCATTACATCTCCTAAAAAGCCTTTATTCCCATCCAGGGGTGATTTGTATTTAGGTATCTAAAATGGGGCAGAGCATAAAGTGCACACTCAATAAATACTTGTGGAATGGAATGTAACTAAGATAAGAACAAAACATAAATCAGGACTTTGGAGAAACATTCCCTTAAGTCCTTGGGAGGAAAGAAGTTACAAGAGTTTTATGCATGCATGTTCTGAGATTTTGCTGGTATGTGAGCGCTTACAACACATCAAGTACTATGTGAGTTAGGCTGTAACAAAAAATCCAACTAACGGTAACAGGCAATGAAGATGTTTTATTTTTTAATAGAAGTCTAGAGGGAGGCAGACCTAGTTAACTAGGTAGTTCAGTAGCATCATCAGAGACCCAGGTTCTTTTTACCCTCAGCATATTCATTCTTCATGCCCGTGCTGGTGGCCTCAGGGTCCTAGGATGGCTGCTGCAGTTCCATGCATCATGAGTACCATGAAAGCAGAGGAGGAAGAGAAAATGGAGGTGGTGATGAAAGGGTTTTGTCTTATTCCTGGAATGGCCCTCTCCTTTCATCAGTGAGGGACACAAAAGTACCTAGCAGCCTTCCTTCTATGTCACATTAGTCAGAACCAGGTTGCATGTTTCCTCTCCCTGCAGAAAAGGCTGGGAAAGGAAGCACTTGGCAGGGGAACTGGGCTACGGTGACAATGCTGCCCTGCATGGGACTGAGCTTCTGTTGGCAACAAGGTCAGTGGCTGCTAAAAAAATGACATGCTGCCTGGCCCGTGGCCCTCCTGCTTTGTATCTGTCTCATTCTAGGAAGTCAGTACCAATAGCCCTGTGAGGTTTTGGGAGGAGCAGTAACTTGCCAATGTGATGGCAGGTTGTGCCAGGGGACCCTGGAAGAACAAGAATTCTTCAAAGGTATTAAAACAGGCAAATTCTTCATAACTCCTTTGCTGAGTCCCAGAATGTTATTTTTGGCAGAGGCTTTAAAGATCATCTGGCTTAGCCCTGGCCATTGTGACTCAGTTGGAGCATCATCCCATACACGGAAAGGTTGCGGATTCGATCCCCAGTCAGGGAACCTACAAGAGACAACCAGTTGATGTTTCTCACATCAATGTTCTCTCTCTCCCCGTCTCTCTCCCACTTCTTCTGTCTCTAAAAGCAGTAAAAAAAAAAAAAAAAAAGATGTCCTCAGGTAAGGATTTTAAAAATAAATAGATAACGATCATCTGGCTTAAGACTCTCATGGAAAATACCAGGGAACTGATGGGCAGGGAACTTAGAGCACTTGGCAAATTTATGCCCAAGCTATGGTTTGGACCCAGCAAGCCCAGAGAGCCTGCCTTTACACCATCTTACTTTGTTTTCTGAGGTGCTGATGCATTGGACTACAAATGTCTGTGTCAAAACATTTGTTTTCATCCCACTCTGATCTAGCATCTTCCTCACCAGGTCTGCACCCTTTCTACTAATTCACTGTGAAGAAGCTAAAGTATGCAGTGAAAACCTCAGGGTTTGTATTCAGACAAACCTAGGTTCAAGGTTCAAGCTTCACTACTTAGTAGGTGTGTAACCTTAAGCAAATCACTTAACCCTAAGTCTCTGCTCCCTTGTCTGTAAAACAAGGGTAATGATGACATTTCTGAGGCCCACCTGAGTAGGCACACAGTCAATGAGTGTGACTCTCACAGTGAGACAGTTTGTATCCTTAGGGATTTACAGTTGGCCTGTGGGTGTTTTCTGCCACACTCCCAATAGACTCTGTGCTGCTTGGCTGCTGCTGTACCATAAATGAGAAGATAAAAAAGGCCCAAGGCTGGGGAGGCAGAGGGTGGGTGGAAGAGGGTATAGGAGGTATAAATAAAATAAAAATTGTTTAAAGGCCCAAGGCTTTAAAAAAAAAAAAGCACAGAAAGGAGTCAGAAGAAAGATCTTTATTTCAGCCACGCAGGGCTGGAACCCATCAGTTTCACACCAGGTTTTATCCCCTCCGCTCCCATCCAGTTTTCTGCCTTCCAGAGTGAAATCTTGCTTTCAGGCAAGGGCTTCCACCCAGCCCTGCATTAGTTGTCGGCTATGGTTTTCTGAACCCAGTCCAGGATGGAGGGCACCTTCACGTACACACCGTACTCAGCCACTCCACAGCTCTTATCAAAGCTCAGGATCCCAGCCGCATACCAGGTATCATCATTCTCATCGTGGACGACAAAGGCGCTGCCAGCATCACCATAGCAGGTGTCTTCCTGGTACTTGGACAGGCCAGCACAGAAGGTGTGCTCATTCAGAATGGGCTGCACTCCTACAGGGCTCTTTTTTTGCTTCTTTTCAGGCTGTGTGCTACCTTCATAGTGCTTTACACAGGTATCCTGCTCAGCCACAGGCAACATAACATACTTCAGTAGCTCAGTAAAGTTAAAGTTGGAATTTCGCCCCCAGCCAGACACATAACCTATACGTCCCACTTGTGCATAATCTTTTGAAGGAAGGCAAATGGGCATTACTTTCTCACCAACGGGCACCTTCTGTTTGAGTTTGATGAGCCCAATGTCAACCTGGAGGTGATCAGGATGGAGAATCACCTTCTCAACCTCCACAAGCTGAGTTTTCCCCAGATAGAGTCTTAAAGTAGGGGCAATGTCTTTTGCTTTTGCATCATCTGCATGACCCAGGAAGAGATTTTTAGCTGTGGTCAACAGCCATTGTTCATTGATCAGTGTGGCCCCTGAGGTAAGATTATGGTGAGAAATCATCTTGGCCTGCCAGGGAAAGCTGCCTTTGGCATCCACTGATCCACCCAGGATCCGCTGGGCCTGATCCACTGGGTTCTTGGGCTTTCCACACACTGTCAAGGAGAGCAAGGAAATCATGAACAGAAACGTGAGAATCTCCCAGTTTAGGAGCAGGGATAAAAGCTTTGGCTATCATTGCTGTCTAAGTTATTATTCATTTCCTCAGAGCCAGGAATATTTACACACTTTGCTCTTACCATCTGACCTCTCCTTTCCAATGTTTACAGTCAGTAAATTGTTTATATCACTAAGAGTTCTATTTCCTGCTTTCCAAAAGAAACAGATTTTGAAATCCTGACTGATGAGCTTTATGTATATTATAAACAGTTCATCACAACAAGGACCTGTCCACAATTCTTTGGAATTCATTGTAACAGCAAGAAGCTATACTAGCTCATTCTATCTGAATAAAGAGGGATCTATAACAGCATGGGCCAGAACTCAGGTTTTATTGACACTGCAGTTAATACAAGGCATGTTAGCAGTTCCACGCCAATAGCAGAAGAGGATAAGCAAAATCCTCTTGTTCCAAAAGGGAAAAGGAGAGAGCAATAGCTCTTCCTGATAACAAGAAATAGAAGTTCTAATCCACCTCCAGCCTTCTGTCATACTTCCATGGATTGTTCTTTCTGCAGCTGGCTTTACCCTTGACCTTAGGCTCTCTGGGCAGGCTGTCTGTATACAAAAGGTCTCCTGATCCCCTGGGGGCAGTGTACACAGTAGATTCAGTCAATGCCCTGCAGGCCCAAATGAACAAGATCCTTAGTGAAGTTTTTTGGGGAATCATCTAACTGCTCAATTTTCCACTGGCCATTTGTGATTCTCCCTGGTCCCTGGTCTTGGCTTTTGTATGCTCAGCAGAAGCCACATAGGACAGGGATGTGCATCTAGGACACTATGCAAGATACCTGCCCAAGCACTGGACCCTCAACACCTATCCTTGGTCTGCTCCCCAGGGCCCTTGGTTTCTCACCTGCTTCACATTCAGGAAGCTTCTCTCCAATGGCCTTATTTGTCCACTTCTTCTCACTGTTTAAGGCATACACTCCTGAAGCAAAAGGAAAGAAATGAGCCAAAAGAGAAATTGAATCAGGACTTAGTGTGAGGGGAGAAGATATTTAAAGAGAAGAATTAGAGAAGGTGAAGGAAGATAAGGGGCAGGGGAGTAGGAGGAAGAGGGGGGTACTGTACTAGAAGCCAAGTGCTGGAGGCACCAGTGAAGCCCAGCAGGACAGAATTGTGCTTATGGTGGTCATGGTGAGGTGATACAGGGTAGGAGTCAGGGCTCAAATCCTCACTCTACCTCTTACAGGCCACCTGATCTTGAGCAAGTTGCCTCTATGCCTCAGTTTCCTTATCAGCAAACAGTAATAACAGTATCTATGTAGAGGGATGTTGTGAGGACTAAGTGACCAAATAAATGTAAACCACCTAGAACAATGCCAGGAACACAGTACTCACTAAAGTAAGGACTATCAATGTCATCACTGTCACCATCTTTCTTTTGCCTCATCCTTTGTAGATACAGCTCTCACTCTAAGATGGGTAGGCTACATGGCATCACCTCCTCTTAACAAGACAAAATTGGAGGCTGAGCAAAGTTAACCTGCCCTAAAGGCCACAGCACTGGTAACAATACCCTTAATAGAATCTACATCTCCTGGCTCCAAGGATAACATGTGAATTTCCGAGCCAATCACCCCTAGCTCCATCCATCATGGAAATGCCAGAAGGGGGAAGACACGAGGACTCTTGTGCAGGTATTACCATCTCCAGTGCGCAGTCTGTAGTAGGTGTTACACTGGTAGCGAACCAAGTGCTCCACGTGGCCGTTTGCAATCTCAGGGGCCTTTGGGCAGCTGTCATCTGCGAAGAAAAACAGGGAGAGGAAGTTAATATTCAGAAATTGCTCCCAAAGACCCACAAAAAGTCAGATAAGAGGAAGCTGCTGTGCACATCAACCCCCCTCCACCCCAGACCGAAGCCAAGGAGTGGGCAGTCTTCTCTTATTTCTGACTGGCTCCCCAATGCTCTTCACCATATTGAAAGAACAGAGATTAGGGTGAGAAGAGGGGATCTGGGTCTTCCTGAAGAGAGGGTGCAGATCTAATAGGGTCAGACACAACAGTGCTGGGATGTACAGCTCCTGCCCAAACCCAAAGACCTACCTGCATTACCTGTACCCTCATTGCCAGTGTCCACTGCGAAAAGCTGACCCCAGAGCAAGAGAGCGACAACAGCTCCCAAGGTGCTGTGAAGAGAAAACAGGAAGGAATGCAAAGCTTGCTCCCTGCTTCACAACACATACACCTCCCAAGAGGCAGCCAAAAAAGAGAATCACCACATGGAAGAGCTACAACCCACCAAATATGTACTTAACAGCTTCTCAGTACACACAGGCCCAGCAAGCTCTATGCTGCTGGGAATTCTACTTGAGCTTCAGGGAGGAATCACCAAAATAGGAAGGTACACAGGTGTGTGGGCCTCAATTTCTGGCAGCATTAAGGAATCATTAAACTAGTAATAATATATGAGCTCTCCAGCAAAGAGAAACTTCCCTCAGGCAACCCTAAAGTACTGGGCTACAAGGACATTGCAAATAAAATGTGGGAAACGTAGTGGAATGTGGAGGTTCACTGTGCTAGTCTACTTTTCAAAATTTTCCATACGAAAAAGTTTTTAAAATATTTCATTTAAAATACCTAGGTGGTTGTTTCTCTTGTTTTATGATAATTTGCTTCAAGAAATAGTATATTAGCCCTGGCCAGGCAGCTCAGTTGGTTAGAGTGCCATCCTGATATGTCAAGGTTGTGGGTTCGATCCCTGGTCAGGGCACATAGAAGAATGAGCCAATGAATGCATAAATAAGTGGAACAAAAAAATCTCCACCCTCTTCTCTTCCTCCCTCCTCCCCTCCTCTCTTTCTATAAAAGCAATATTTTTTTTAAATCTTTAAAAAGAGAAATGGTGCATTAAACCTCAAAATGCTAGAAGGTTACCTGGAAGATAACTGGCTTCCTAAAAGCCTGATTGGATACAGGCCTCAGTGCACAGGCCACACTTACCAGTCAATTGTCACAATGACAGATGTCAGCTATTCAGAGATTGCTTGGTTAAGTTTCTAGTCTTGCTACTTCCACATTTTAAAAAATCTTTTTATTTTTTATAAACTCTAAGTGCCTTAATTATGTCACCCAAGTATGTCACTTTTGGTCTTTTTTATTATACATTTCTAAAAAGAAAAAAACCTAATAAATATATTTAAAATACCAGGAAGCCTACCATGGAAGCTGGTGTTATCTCCTACAAAGGTGAAAACTTCATACTCTCAAGGGAAAAAAGATATTGGTTAGAGTAAGTCACTTCTCCTGGCAAAGACAGCAGTATCTGAAAGTATTATCTCTTATGAATGCAGAAAAGCAGAGGATTTAACATAGCCCATTTGCCCTGTTTTTTTTTTTTTGTTATATTTTTGCACCTGTTCTGTAGGCTTCTCCTATACCTGGGCTGTCATGTAGATAAAAGATTTATGCAAAGAAGATGAGATAAAGAACAGGAGGAAGGGAGGCACTGTGAGCAGAGCTGTGGACTCACCGCATCTTTGGTTTGTCCTGCCTCTGGAAGAGCAGTGCTGTGGGGTAAGCCTACTGATGCTTTTATGCTGTAATATCTTACCCCACCCCTTCTTGATTTTGAAATTCCTGTGTCTACACAACTTTGGCCTTGTTAAAGTACTGGCATTTTCCAGTAACAAAACCACAAACATCCCTGGTAAGAGTCGAGCTGTTGCTTCACACTTGAGTTTTCCCTGGTGTTCTTTTACAAACCCCAAAGAAACCTGGTCACATTATGACCTCAGGTAGCTGCCAAAGAGCTTCCCGAAATCAGCCACTGTGCAGGGCTGGAGGAGGAACTGTCAATCTCTATCTCTTTATTTTGGACAGTATTCAGCACTGAAAAAAAAAAAAGCCCTTCTTTGGGTTATTTCAAACCCCTTATAGACACTCCTGCAACCTGGCTGAGGTGGGGCTCTAAAGAAAGCATTTCCTTTTCACAATCATTTCCCCTGTCCTGTGTTGACATCTCCCTATTGCTTAAAAGCGCTCCAATCTGAAATCAGTAAGATGTATTTATTGTATACTCTGTGATTGCTGTTTGCAAGAAATCACACAAAATGGTTAAAGCTAGAGTATAGAGCGACACACAACATACTCAGTGGCAGTAGTTCTTATGGTTTTATAGTCAGTATCAATCCAAGGAGGCAGATGAAAAAATTTATATACTTCGGTCAAATGTCTGCACCTGTTTATCCCAATTACAGTTCAACTGAAATTTAATAGCAACTCAATAAAAGATTGCTTTATTCATTAAAAAAAAAAAAGGTAAGCCCTGGCTGGTGTAGCTCAGTGCATTGAGCGTGGGCCTGTAAACCAAAGGATTGCAGTTCAATTCCCTATCAGGGCACATGCCTGGATTGCAGGCCAGTTCCCAGCAGGGAATGCATGAGAGGCAACCATATATTGATATTTCTCTCCCTCCTTCCCTTCCCCTCTAAAGATAAATAAATTAAATTTTAAAAAAAGTAAATGGTCCTAAAGTTGCGGTGTACAAAGAAATCACTTTGGGATATTCATGGTAGCACTGAAGTAATACCACAATAACTAGAAACAACACGAATGTCCATGAATAAGGGAATGAGGAAATTATGTATGGTATAGTCCTGTCATGGAATATTATGCAGCCATGAAAGTGAGTGAACTATGGAAGAACCTGGATAATCTCATAAACACAGTTTTGAAAGAAAACTGCAAGTTTCAGAAGATTACTTTCAGAATGACACCACTGTTTCAGAGCTCAGAACCAAGCAAAACCTGGCAATGGATTCTTAGATATGACACCAAAATTACAAGCAGTGAAAGAAAACATTGATAAATTAGTTTGTCAAAATTAAAAACTTTTATGCATCCAAGGACAGTATCAGGAAAGTAAAAAACAGTCTGTGAATGAGAGAAAATATTTGCAAATCATATACCTGACAAGGATTTAATGTAAAGAATTCCTACAACAACAAAAAGACAAACAACCCAAATAAAACATGGGCAAATTATTTGAATAGACACTTCTCCAAAGAAGATCTACAAATGTCCGATAAGAACATGAAAAGATGCTCAGCATCACTGGAAAATGTCATTAGGGAAATGCAGATCAAAACCACAATGAGACACCACTTGATAACTACTAAAATGGCTACAATTTTTTTAAGTGTTGACCAAAATGTAGAAAAATTGAAACTCTCATACATTCCTTATTGGAATATACAATATAATGGTTTTAATGGAAAAGAGTTGCAAAGAGCTAATAATTCTCAAAGAGCTAATAATCATAGAATTGCCATATGACCCACCAATTCTACTTCTAGGTATATACCCCAAATATTGAAAACAGAGACTTAGATCATTGCATACCAATGTTTGCTGTGGCATGATTCACAATAACCGAAAGGTAGAAACAATCCTAGTGTCTTTCATCAAATGAATGGATATACAAAATGTGGCATATACATGCAATGGAATATTATTCACCCATAAAAAGGAAGTTCTGATACATACTACCACATGAAAAGCCTTGAAAACATTATGTTAAATGCAAGAAGAAACCAGACACAAAAAGACAGTATGGTATGATTCCACTTACATGAAATAGCTAGAAAAGGCAAGTTCATAAAAAAAAAAAAAGGTAGATAAGCAGTTACCAGGGGCTAGAGGGAGGGAGGAATGGGGAGTTATTGCTTAATGGGTACAAAGTTTCTGTTTAGGGTGATGAAAACTTTTGGAAACAGTGGTGATGGTTACACAACATTTTGAATGTAATTAATGCCATTGAATTATACACTTAAGCATTGTTAAAATCAGAAATTTTGTTCTATTACTCTATCACAATAAAAAATTCAAGAAATAAAACAGTAAATAAACATCTTGGGGCCAAATTTTTTTAAAAGAAAGCAAAACTAAGCAATGTGTTGTACTGGCATTTTTAAAATTTTTAATGGAATGGAAAACAAAATGTAATATGTTACCTCTCATGGGAGGCAGGAGGAAGGCATAGGAGAAAAGCACATAGGTGGATATAAATATAGGTAAATTATTGCTAATGATCCAGCTTTTGGGCAGGGTGATAGGTTCATGAATGTACATTATATTATTGTGCCTTATTTTTTAAGGATATATATCATATATATTTGACATATAGTATTTATAGTGTAAACATTTTAAAATATGAAAGAGTGGGAATCATCTGACAGAGGCAAAGTCCAGACCCCTCTTGCAGACATATGATGCAACATGTTTGAGCAGAGTCTGAGAATCTGCATTTTAAATGGCCATAACTTCTCCCCATCCCTGTATGCACACGGCACTGTGACCACAGCAATTCCAGTCATGGTTCTGTTGTGTGACTACTTTGGCCAATAGAATAGTAGCAAACAGAAAAGAATGATTTGAAACATACTAGTAAATTGTCTGGGGGCTGCCATATGAATGAATGAGCCCAAAGTACTCTTCCATTGCTTGAGGATGAAAGGTCACAGAGAAGAGAACCCAGGCCTCCCTGCCCACCAGCCTCAGTTACCTGGTAGCTGACCACAGATGCATGAGTGAGCCCCTGCTGAGATCAACCCAACCCAGCCCAGCCCAGCCCAGCCCAGCCCAGCCCAGACTGCTGACCTACAGAATCATAAGCTAAATAAAAGGATTATGTTGAAAGCTTTCTATGGATTCTCTGGGGAATGGGGGAGAACCCCAGTCTATGAAATGGGGCAGAAAGTTGTTCTCTGTAGGCTGCAGCTGCCCTTCCTAACATAAATAAAGTGAAACATGTCTCACCACCACTATAGAATAATTGCTTACCAACCAGATGCATGAAAATTCACATCTCTTCTATGAACAAAACTCGAATTCCATTACAACAACCCTTGTCTTGGACAACAACAGAGGACATCCTTCATTTACTTGACAACAAAGAGTATCCTGCCAAAAGGCCTTCTCTCTTAATTGGAAACTAAGAGTGGACAAGGTGAGGTGACAAGTGAGAAGCTTCAGTGTAGCCATCCAGGGGAAGTAGTGAATACATTTTGTAAGAACAGAAAGCAGAAAAGTTTGAAATATCAGTGAGGAAGGACAGCAGTTGACAGAAGAATTGAAGGGCAGAGTTTTCATTTTGGAAGGAAAAAAAATACTTTTTAAAAGTTCATTCTGCCATTACAAAAGTCTTGAAATTTCACAAGGTAAAGAAAAAGAAAAAGAAAAAAACCTACCCATTATCTCACCAACCAAAGACAACCAATAACCATTATTAACAGTTTGGTGTTACTTCCTTCCAGGCTTTCTCTGTACACATTTTTATAGAGTTTTTACCATCGTTTATACAGGATTTTTGTGGTCTGCCTTTTTCACCCCATGTTATAGGCAATTCTTATAGAAAACCTCTTCAAAAATTTTTAATGCCATATATTTTTAACTTAAGAATGTATCATATGTACTTTAACTATTTTCTCACTGTTGGAAACTTAAGATTATTCTAATTTGTCTGTTATAAACATCTTATACACACACAGGAAAAGAAGCCAGGCTTACTTTATTCCATATTTATATACAATTGACGTAGCATCATTTACTAAAAACATAAAATCTTGAACTTCTTGAACTTCAAGATGGTGGCATAGGTAAACATAGCTCGCTTCCTTGCACAACCACATCAAAATTACAACTAAACTATAGAATAACCATCACTCAGAACTGTCAGAAATCGAGTTGAGTGAAAGTCAGACAATTACAGAATTAAAGAAACCACATCCATCCAGGCTGGTAGGAGGGGTGGAGATGTGGAACAGCCTGGTTCCACACCCACCTGTGGTGGCTAAAAATTAGGGAGGGATATCTCAGGAGTGAGGAGTCCCAGCCCCACACCAGGTTCCCCCAGCCCAGAGTTCCAGTGCCAGGAAGACAAGTTCCCATAATTTCTGGCTGCAAAACCCAGCAGGGATTGAATCAGTGAAAGAAATTCCTAGAGTTCCAAGCAGTTCATCTTAAAGAACCCACACACAGACTTGCTCAGACCCACTCATCTGAGCTCCAGCACCAGGGTGGCAGCTTGAAAGGCACCAAGGGCATACAGGGAGGAACTGAAGTGTGTGTCTGGCATTGAGGTGAGAGCTGGAGGACAGCTTGCTCCCAGACAGAAAAGCAGTCAGGAGTCATTGTCCCTTTTCTGAACGTTCCCTGCACAGAAGCACAGAGCCGACAGGTGAGTACCATATCTGAGACTCATCAACCTGGCTAACACTGTTTGCTTGACCCTGGACATCCCCTGAGATTCCCTACAACCCAACTTAGAGGCCAACCCAAGCTGTTAACAGTGACTTTTCCATATAAATGGCTGGTCTTGGCTCATGGTTCACAACTTCCTACATCCTCTCAAACAAGTAATAGCCAGCCTCAGTGAGCCCCCATCCTCCATACCTCTGGCTAAGTGGCCCCAAGCCCGGCAATAGCAGCAGCCAGCCTACATTCATGGCTTGGCTTTGCCTGGGAATCTCTAAGCCCAGCACAAATAACAGAGATCTCAAATTGCTTTATAGTTCATGCAGGGTGGCCCTGGGCAAAGCACAGGTGGG